CTGCCTGGAGTGCCGGGGGAAGCCCCCCTCCCCCCCCCCCCGTGACAGCAGCAGCTCACTCGGGCCACGCTGGGTTTCATCAGGCGCCCTCCTGATGTTATTCCACCAAACAGGGCAGGTTATCAAGGCTGGGGTTGCATATTAACTCACAGCCCCGTTGGCGAGGAGGAGAGGAGGTGATTTCGTGCAGGAAGAGAAGAGCAGGCCAAGCGGTGGGTGGGTGGAGGAGGGGAGGGGAGCAGGAGCCGGAGCAGGAGAGGATCCCTGTGGGGCGGGAAGTGGGGAGGAGGAGGAGGAGGGCCGGGAGAAGGTCTCCCTCCAGGCTGGCTCCTCACTCGGGAGCCTTGTCTTCAGGAAGGCTCGCTGGTTTTGCATTTATTCAACAGCCACATTTTCGCCCCTCTCTCCGGAGCCATCCCGGTTCCTGCCTCTTGTCCTGAGGGTCGCTGAGGAAAAGAGGCCGGTAACGCAGGCCAGTCCCAGATGTTTCTGAGCTGGAAGGCCTGGAGACAAAGCAGGCCGAGGCCGGCTGGTTTCTGCCTCTCCGTTCTGGACGTCGTTCTCTCATGGGACATTCCCTGTTCCTGGGCTTCTCCACCATTGCCTCCAAGGGGCCGGAACGGCCCTGCCAGAGGATCCCAGTGTGACAAACCCAGACCTACTGGGATCTATCACACAGTTACTAAGCTGCCACCAACCATTCCCTATAATAAGTCACACAGACCAGGGATGGATTTTTAAACAACAAAAGAATAAGGTTTATTTTAAATACAAACAGGGTAAATAAAACAATCAGGTGAATAAAATAAAGTAACGTGGCTTATTCTCACACACACAAGCATACAGTTTGGTTCACCTAGAACCTTTAACTTAAAGCACCATCCTTCCTTCTGCCCTGGAAGGGGTTCCAGTCCTGAAAGGTGGGCAAAGCTTTCTGTAGCTTGAGTGGGAGTTCAGGCAACTGACGAACGCTGTTCATAATTTCTGGCTTATTTGAATAAGCGTCCTGGTGACCCGCCACGACCCCCTGAGGTGTTCAAGCCACCGTTTCTGCTTGTGAGAGAAGGACTCTTTTGGCTGAAGCCGAAGGCGGCCCATTGCGTCTTGTTGTGCCCTCGGAATAATCGTTTTTGTTACTCGCAGTCGGGCAGCCGCGCAGACCAGCCTGCCTGGTGTGTCTCGTGAGAGAAGAGGCCAGTTAGCGTGTCTTTGTAGCGACCCCTCCTGGTTTGGGGTTGGAGGCAAAGTCTCTCCTTGAAGGTCGCACAGCATCCTTGGGGGCTGAGGCGGCACCTTCCGTGGCGCTGCCTCGTGGCACACCCAGCCTGCTGAACCCGGGGGTCCTTCTGCCTTTTGCAGCCATGGCGACCGAGACGTCTTCTCTTGCCGGGGGATCCTGCTGGCGGTGAACTGGTTTCTGGACCGAGGGCACACGGACATCACGGTCTTCGTGCCGTCCTGGAGGAAAGAACAGCCCAGGCCGGATTTTCCCATCACAGGTAAAGGGTTGAGCCTCTGCTGGCCTGGCCGGCGGGTGTAGCCGGCGGGTGCCTTTCAGCCGCTGCGTCGGGGCAGCCTCCTCTAGAATGATCTTCCTTCCACCCTGAATCCCCTCCAGCTTTCGTACTTCATTGTTGGTGGGAATACGGGGGGGGGGGCTTTTGGGGAGCAAGAAGGAGGGTCATGGGGTGCGGCCGGTTAAATTTGGAACGACTGCCAGAAGCCTCCCCCCCACACACTATTTCCGTCGCGATTGTTCTGAGACATGGTGTCCCGTGTTGCTCCCTGGAAGGAAAGATGGGGGCGGCCCGTCTCAGTCTGCTGCCGTGTCTCTTGGTCTCCCCAC